GACCCCCAGGGACCCCCAGTGACCCCTCAATGACCCTCACTGACCCCCAGGGACCCCCAGGGACCCCCTCAGTGACCCCCTGCCCTCCCCTGCCCTGGCAGCGACCTGGAGAAGGCCATGGAGAAGTTCCAGCGGGATCTGGCGCACGGCCCCCGGCTGATCCCGGCGCAGGAGCTGGAGGAAAAGGCCGCGGTGCTCAAGCAGCTGGGGGAGACCCTGACGGACCTCAAGGGTGAGGAGGGGGCTGGGGGGGCAAACGGAACCTTCCGGAATTTCCCTGCTCCGTCTCTGCCTGGGGATGCTCCAGGATCTCCTGGAACTGTGTGTTTTCCCTTGGGATGCTCCAGGTCCTCCTGGATTTGTGTTTTCATCTGGGCTTCTCTAGGTTCTCCTGGATTTGTGTTCGCACCTGGGATGCTCCAGGTTTTCCTTGCCCCTGGATTTGGGTGTTTTCCCCTGGGATGCTCCAGGTTCTCCTGGATTTGTGTTTTCACCTGGGATTCTCCAGGACTTCCCAGATTTATTTTTGCACCTGGGATGTTCTAGGATCTCCTGGATTTGTGGTTTTGCACCTGGGATTGTCCAGGACTTCCCGGATTTGTTTTTGCACCTGGGATGTTCCGGGATCTCCTGGATTTGTGTTTCCCCTGGGATTCTCCAGGACTTCCCGTACTTGTTTTTACACCTGGGATGCTCCAGGTTCTCCTGGATTTGTTTTTTCACCTGGGATGTTCCAGGACTTCCCAGATTTATTTTTGCACCTGGGATGTTCCAGGATTTCCCAGATTTATTTTTGCACCTGGGATGTTCCAGGATTTCCTGAATCTGTGTTTTCCCCTGGGATTCTCCAGGACTTCCCAGATTTGTTTTTGCACCTGGGATGTTCCGGGATCTCCTGGATTTGTGTTTCCCCTGGGATTCCCCAGGACTTCCCAGATTTGCTTTTGCACCTGGGATGTTCCGGGATCTCCTGGATTTGTGTTTCCCCTGGGATTCCCCAGGACATCCCAGATTTATCTTTGCACCACTCCCCCGGCAGCCCAGTTCCCCGGCCTGCAGAGCAAGATGCGCGTGGTGCTGCGGGTGGAGGTGGAGGCCGTCAAGTTCCTCAAGGAGGAACCCAACCGCCTGGACGGGCTCCTCAAGCGCTGCAGAACCGTCACCGACACCCTGGCCCAGATCCGCAGGTGAGCCCCGAGGGCACGGCCACCCCCTCGCTGTCCCTTTTGTCCCCACGCCTCGTCTCCAGGGAGGGCATCCGAGGCGAGTGCAGAAAATGATGGGGTTTCGGTTGAAAGACCCCAAAAAAAGGACCCCGGAAATACCCTCCGTCCTTTCCAGGTGTGGGTGGGATCCGTCTTTTTATACAAAACTCTTTTTTGTGCCACCCCCACCGTGGGCAAAATCAGTATTTTGTGCCCACCCCCCATGCCCAAAATGAGGATTTTGTGCCCACCAGAAATGAGGATTTCGTGCCCACCAGAAATGAGGATTTTGTGCCCACCAGAAATGAGGATTTNCCCACCAGAAATGAGGATTTTGTGCCAACCCTGTGCCCAAAATGAGGATTTTGTGCCTGAAATAAGGATTTTGTGCCCACCAGAAATGAGGATTTCGTGCCCACCAGAAATGAGGATTTTGTGCCAACCCTGTGCCCAAAATGAGGATTTTGTGCCTGAAATAAGGATTTTGTGCCCACCAGAAATTAGGATTTTGTGCCACCCCCCGTGCCCAAAATGAGGATTTTGTGCCTGAAATAAGGATTTTGTGCCATGATTTGTGCCTGAAAATAGGATTCTGTCCCCACCCCCTGTGCTGAAAGTGAGGATTTTGTGCCCACCCAAAATGAGGATTTTGTGCCCAAAATGACGATTTTGTGCCACCCCCCGTGCCCAAAATGAGGATCTTGTGCCCACCNGAGGATTTTGTGCCCAAAATGACGATTTTGTGCCACCCCCCGTGCCCAAAATGAGGATCTTGTGCCCACCCAAAATGAGGATTTTGTGCCACCCCGCATGCCCAAAATTAGGATTTTGTGCCCACCCCCTGTGCCTGAAATGAGGATTTTGTGCCCACCCCCATGCCCAAATAGAGGATTTTGTGCCCGAAGTGAGAATTTTGTGCCACCCCCTGTACCCAAAATGAGGATTTTGTGCCCGAAGTGAGGATTTTGTGCCCAAATTGAGAATTTTGTGCCACCCCCCATGCCCAAAATGAGGATTTTGTGCCCAAAGTGAGGATTTTGTGCCCAAATTGAGAATTTTGTGCCACCCCCTGTGCCCAAAATGAGGATTTTGTGCCCACCCCCATACCCGAAATGAGGATTTTGTGCCCGAAGTGAGGATTTTGTGCCCAAAATGAGGATTTTGTGCCACCCCCCATACCCAAAATGAGGATTTTGTGCCCACCAGAAATGAGGATTTTGTGCCCACCCCCATGCCCAAAATGAGGATTTTGTGCCCGAAGTGAGGATTTTGTGCCCAAAATGAGGATTTTGTGCCACCCCCCATACCCAAAATGAGGATTTTGTGCCCGAAGTGAGGATTTTGTGCCCACCAGAAATGAGGATTTTGTGCCCACCTCCATGCCCAAAATTAGGATTTTGTGTCCACCCCCATACCCAAAATGAGGATTTCATGCCCGAAGTGAGGATTTTGTGCCCAAATTGAGGATTTTGTGCCCGAAGTGAGGATTTTGTGCCCAAATTGAGGATTCTGTGCCACCCCCGTGCCCGCGGCCCCTCAGCGCCTCCGCTCTGCCCTAGACAAGTGGACGAGGGCGTGTGGAGCTCTCCCAGCAGCCTGAGCCAGTCGCCCAAGAAGGCGGCCCCGGAGACGGATTTCGGCAAAGCGCTGGAGCTGGAGATGCCCACCAGCCCTCCCGTCAGCCTGCACCACCTGACGGGCACCGCCGAGCCCCTGGGTGTGCCCGGCTTCGTCGCCCAGCCCCAGAGCCACGCGGGCAAGAGCAATAACCCCTCCCGAGCCCCTGAGATGGTGCCCGCCAAGACGCAGACGGCGCCGGAGACCGCCGGCAAGAAGAGCGTGGACAAAGCCGTGTCCGTGGAGGTGAGAGCCCGGCCCCGGGGGGGTTCAGCTCCTCCAGAAGGTCTGGGAAGGTGAAAATGGGAAGGGCAGCGGTGCCCGAGGTGCTGCTCCTCGGTGGAGGAGTCCTGGCAGTGGAAACGGGGCTGGATGAGAGTTGGGTGGTGTTGTTGAGGCAGGATGGGAATGAAGTGGTTCTGTTCAGGAGGGAATGGGGCTCTGATGGATTTCAAAATGCATCTGAGAGAATAGAACGGTGATTTATTTCAAAACGCGTCGCTCTTTTATGCAGAGCTTCGCGCAGACCGACTCTATTGGTCCTGAAGTGAAAACATCTCGCCCCGTTGGCGTACAGTGCATGACGCACGGTGGTAGAAATTCACTATAAATGTGAACAGCAAGATAAAGAAATTATTTACATTCTTCTTAGCACTTTCTCAGGCTTCTGCCACCCTTGGAGGTGTTAAACTAAAGCTGGAGGTGGCACTGGGTGCCAGGGTTTGGTTGAGCTGTTGGGGCTGGCTTGGATTCGATGATCCTGAAGGTCTCTTCCAACCCAGTCATTCTGTGACTGTGAATTTTGGGAATTTGGGAGAATTTTGGGAATTCCAAAGGACCGGGGAGGTGGTGGAGTCACCACCCTTGGAGGTGTTTAACCAAGGCTGGAGGTGGCACTGGGTGCCAAGGTTTGGTTGAGCTCAATGATCTTAAAGATCTCTTCCAGCCCAGTGATTCTGTGAATTTTGGGAATTTGGGGGAATTTTGGGAATTCCCAGGGATCAGGAGGTGGTGGAGTCACCAACTCTGAAAATGTTTAACCAAGGCTGGAGGTGGCACTGGGTGCCAGGGTTTGGTTGAGCTGTTGGGGCTGGCTTCGATTCGATGATCCTGAAGGTCTCTTCCAACCCAGTCATTCTGTGACTGTGAATTTTGGGAATTTGGGGCAACTTTGGGAATTCCCAAGGACTGGGGAGGTGGTGGAGTCACCACCCTTGGAGGTGTTTAACCAAGGCTGGAGGTGGCACTGGGTGCCAGGGTTTGGCTGAGGTTGGGTTGGACTCAATGACCTTGAAGGTCATTTCCAACCTGGTCATTCTGTGACCGTGAATTTTGGGCATTTTGAGAGAATTTTGGGAATTCCCAGGGACCAGGAGGTGGTGGAGTCACCACCCCTGGAGGTGTTCAACCAAGGCTGGAGGTGGCACTGGATGCCAGGGTTTGGTTGAGCTGTTGAGGCTGGGTTGGACTCGGTGACCTTGGAGGTCTCTTCCAACCTGGTAATTCTGTGATTCTGGGAATTCTGTGAATTCTGGGAATTCAGGTGAATTTTGGGAATTCCCAGGGACCAGGAGGTGGTGGAGTCACCACCCTTGGAGGTGTTCAACCACCCCTGGGGCTGGCACTGGGTGCCAGGGCTTGGTTGAGCTGTTGAGGCTGGGTTGGACTCGATGATCTCAACGATCTCTTCCAACCCAGTGTTTCCATAAATTCCATGAAATTTGGGGATGGGGGCAAAAACCCGCCCCCGCAGCTCCTCGCAGCGGCTCTGGGGGTGTCGGGGGCTGCGGGGTCACGCCGTGCCCACCAGGGCCGGGGCTGGAGCGGGTTCTGCGTCCGCAGGCGGCGGAGCGGGACTGGGAGGAGAAACGAGCAGCGCTCACCCAGTACAGCGCCAAGGACATCAACCGGCTCCTGGAGGAGACCCAGGCCGAGCTCATGAAGGCCATCCCCGACCTGGAATTCGCCGCCAAGCACAAACAAACCCCGGGCAGCGGCAGCGCCGCCTCCACGCCCGAGCACAAACCCTCCAAGCCGCAGCACGCCCCCAAATCGGGGGGCAAAGGGGACCCCAACGGCCGCCGGGGCTCAGGTACGGGTGGGGAGCATGGGGCGGCCTCCAGAGGTGGGGCTGGGGGTGCCCGAGGTGGGGAGGGGGTTGGATGAGGTGGGCAGGGACGGGCGGTGCCCTCAGAGCCCCCCGTTTGTGCCCAGACGAGCTGACGGTGCCGCGGTACCGCACCGAGAAACCCTCCAAGTCGCCGCCGCCTCCCCCGCCCCGCCGGAGCTTCCCCTCGTCGCACGGGCTGACCACGACCCGCAGCGGCGAGGTCATCGTCACCAGCAAGAAGGAGCCCGGCTTTATGAAGGTGAGGATGAGGGCTGGGCTGGGCTGGTCAGCGCCACCCCTCCCGGTGTCCCTCCGTGGCCCCCGGTGCCCCCCGGGTCCTCTCGGTGCTCCACGGTGCTCCCCGGTACCTCTCAGTGTCCCCTGATGCCTCCCGGTATCCCCCGGTGTTCCTCAGTGTCCCCTCGCTGCCTTTCGGTGTCCCTCAGTGTCCCCCGATGTCTCCTGGTGCCCCCCGGTGTCCTCTCAGTGTCCCCCCGGTACCCCTCGGTGCCCCTGTGACCTCAGCACCGATAACCCCCTGCCCCCCGGTGTCCCCGGTGCCCCCGGCGCTCACGACCCACTGCCCCCGGTGCCCCCCGGTGCCCCCCCGGTGTCCCCCCCGTTCCCCTCAGTGCTCTCCAGTGTCCCCCCGGTATCCCCCTGGTACCCCCCGGTACCCCCCACTGCCCCCCGGTGCCCCCCGGTATGTCCCCGGTGCCCCCGGTGCCTCTGGCGCTCACAGCCCCCTGCCCCCGGTGCCCCCCGATGCCCCCCGGTTACCCCCGGTATCCCTCCAGGATCCCCCCGCTCCCTCCGGTGCCCCCGGCACTCACGGCCCGTTGCCCCCGGTTGGCCCCGCTATCTCCCCGGTTCCCCCCGGTGCCCCCAGTGCCCCCGGCGCTCACGGCCCGCTCCCCCCGGTTCTCCCCGGTTCTCCCCGGTTCTCCCCAGTATCCCCCCGGTATCCCCCCGGTATCCCCCCGGTGCCCCC